TCTATGTTCGTGCGTTGTACAAACTATAACGTTCAGTCTCTTTCGTAGTTTTATGTAGTGTTGGCTCCGTTGTCGTGAACTAATAAGATGGTGTCTGAATCTTTGCGTGGTAGAACTGGTGACTTCTTGTCTTGTTCGGTGTTTCCTGAGGTTTCGGAGCTGTAATCTTAGGCGCAGTCTTGATATTTTGTGCCAAATGCGTTTCTGGCGCCGATCCCTTATGCAAAGACGCCTGACGTCTTGAATTTCTTTTAAGAGGCTGACTTTGCGTCGTCGTCCTTGTCGGTGTATCTGTTGGAGTGTCTGCGATTCTTGGACTTGCTTTTGCTGGCGTTGCTGTGGAACGAATTGCGGTGAGATCCCTTCTTGAACATCGCGCTCGTTTTCTTCACAACTTGATGTGGGGCCCAGTCGGCAGCTGGTAGTTTGTGGGCTGTTGTCATGCACTTCGGGCAATGAAGATAATGCTTCAGAATTGGTAGAAAGTTCTTCAGAAGCTTCTTCTACCCTGTTCACTATAAGAGGCTCTTGCGCATTGCAGCGTGCGACGTTCGATGCGTCGGAGCCTTCGGTGTTTCTTCCACTGTCGAGTGTGTATGGACTGGATGGCGATGCATGAACCCGTGTGGAAGGAGCATGGCTCGACAGGGTATTTTCCCGATGCGCCAGGTCATTTACCATAAATACGGCGTCCTTATAAGGCAAATGGTGAGCGCTATGAGCGCTTGAAGAACCGCGTGATGAAAACCCAGGTGGTGGACCACGTATGCCAGACGAAGAGTGAACGGCATCAGGTGGTTGGGCAACGTTTCGGGGCATATGCTGAAGCGATGACTTCGAAAATGCTGACTTTCGCGCAGAAGGGATGCGCGCTTGACGGTTAGGTTTTTCCCAATATACGCATGGCCTTCTGTAAGTAAACTCATGTGGCACTTCGTCTTGAGGCAGTTGTCGATGCGCGCTGGGCTTTCGAATGGTTGAGTACTGCTTAGGAAATTGACGATAGTGTGCGGTTGTCTCTAGATGGTTGGTGTTACAAGCTGCCACTCTAGCGTCGCCAGCGCGAAGTCGGCGACGGGAATGACAGCAGGTCGGTTCGTTCCGTACGCAAGCAGAGACAGTGAAGAGATCGGAGACGTGAGAAAACAAAACAACTTTACTCTAGTGACATTGCAGCACACGGGATCTAATACAACACTTCAATACAACTAACAAAATACATCGACACTGGATACAACTAAAGAAATATATAACAGAAACAAGAAATCAGCTTACGAGAGAGAACTATTACAAGCTACACAAACTAATAAGAATAGAACGACGGAGGAGAAAGTTCGAAGATATAAACAGGTGAAGGCATACGTGTGATGACCGGCAGCGTTGTGTCCCAGACGATCGGATGCGAGAAGTCGAAGAGAGTTCTGGCACGACTGCGATGTCGGCGGTGTTGCAACGCTGGTGGCTCCGGGAGGCTAGTGCTTGCAGGTGACTTCGAGCAGGTTGAGCTAACTTGAGGCGAAGTCCCGATGTCTACGTTGCAGACGTTAATATCGCGTCACAACTAGACGAACGGCTAAGTTTAGGTGGCCAGCCGATACAGAGCCACACTAAAAACTTCTAGAAGAGATGCTTGTTGATCTGTTTCTACACCATCTTGGTCAGCGACTAGTCTGCCTAGCAGGGCAAAATCCTGCGCTTAAATCCCCCTCGTGTCTCCTCGCTCTCTTCCTTGGGGACAAGAGACCTCTACCTGGGTCCAATCATGCGCGTTTAATTGATGGGAAACTCCGCCCCAAAAATATTTTGACCCCACCCCTTTTTAATTGGAAGAGGGCCCTCAACTAGCGAGAGTGACAACCTGTCGGGTTGTTGACATACGGCTTGGCCACCAGAGCGTTTCCCACGCTTTTCCCCGTAGGAACGGTCAAACGTTTGGCTCTCAGCCGGGGTGTCTCGTAGTCTAATCCTTGTTCAGGGTATACCGCGGCCTTCTACGACCTTGCAGACGCCGCCACAGTTACAAAAGGATTAACCGTCGGCGGCGACGTTCTAAGAAGAGCACCCCATTTTGCACTTCTCGGCTCCCTTTCATGCGCCGCCGTTTCTCACGGTCAGTCGGGGAGTACGGCGCCCGTTGATTGCCGTGACGCGGTGTCGCCAAAAATGGACGTCCGTGACAGTTGGCAATGAGTAGGTCTTGGTCATAGTCGTTAAAACGGGTAATCATCTCCTCTTTGATTTTTTGCCATGACTCGTCGTTCTCGAATATGTGAATTAGGTAAAATTTAAATGCCTCACCGGTGACGTATAGTTACTGAAGTTCGTAACCATTTCCCATTCCGACCACGATGCAGCGGTAGCGTGGAGCTCGAACATGTCGAACCAGTCCTGTACAGGTCCATCGTCCGCTGCTCCGGTGTACTTGGGGATGGGAAGGTCTGTCGATGGTACTGCCAAGATGCTGGTAACTGCATGCGCCTGAGATCACCTCTTCTGTGGTCGATATTCAGTTGAGGTGTACTGCCGGTGGCTTCTTGAATGATGTGAGGTTGATGAGCGGTGGCCACTTGATACGTCACATATGTCTGATTGTAAGAGATCAAGGTGAGAAAAGAGTGGTGATATATGAGAAAGACAATTGAATATTTGCAGGAAGGCAAAAAAAAGATATCTGGTTGATGGTTTTATAAGCAGCTAAATATATACTATATATGTATGCGTTGAAATAGAGCTTTATAATACACAGTGTCCTTCTTCGACATTTTTCTTTCTGAACTCAGCATCAGTTTGCAAAAGACGTTGGTGGTAAGTGCGGTCGAACATTAAAAGTTTTGGATACTAATAGACAGCAAGTTCATACCGATGAACGTGCCGTGCTCTCAATGTAGCTTTTTATTAACGCCATAAACAGCCTGACGGTCACTTCGGTCACTGCAGCGGCCGCGTTTTCTAAAGAAGTGAGCTGCTATTCGTACTTCAATGCACAACAGTTCAATTTGTTACTATCACACTCATTGCTTCGTCATTACGGCAAAATTGTGACTTTTGTTTTTTAACTCAGTACGTGACGTTTGCGTTTGCGGCAGGAACTTGCCATCTGAAAGGTTGATTCAGCACACGGTGACAAAACCCTATTTTATCAATCTGCAGTAAACAATCGAATACCTCTGTAACGCGCGTATATTTTCGTGTTGCATGCCGATTCCCATGACAGGGGAATCAGCCATGATTTTTCAACGAATGATTGCTGTTATATTTCTTCATATTAAGTATACACTTTCTTGCATTTATTCAAGCTTGTGCGCATTATAGTTTGCACCGTTAGCTAATATTCTGAACGCTGTTTTTAGAGCGTGCAATTATTATTAGTATTGCTATTGTTATATAACTGTTATTCACTTGATATTATGAACTTCTCAACCCTTTTTTTCAAAATGTAAACTTTGAGGTGTGAGGGGCGTACTACAATGTTTACACTTATTGCATTTGTATTAGCATTGCTTAAGGGGCCCCCAGGTACCTGCATAAACACGCCAATACAAACGATGTAAACAAAAATTTTCTTTGAAGAAACAAAATTAAGGTGATTATAACGTTAAACTATCCCTCGTTGCTTCCTTTCAAAATGGTCGTTAGATGTCTGTGATTTGTGTATACAGTTTTTGTCATGCACACAGCACCGGCTTGTTACGCGATGGCAACAAATGACGCGAAAATGATCCATCGCGTAATGACCTCTTATGAAGTACCACGTAAAAAAAATAGAAGAATGAATTGTTTTCGATACGGCATATCGTTTGCCATTGGTCCATCGGCATTTAAAATTTTCTGTGTGCCACAAAACCGCCTGCTAGTTACATGACGTCATGAAGCCGGATAGCATCTCCTAAATGAAATTCAAGTAGGCTAGCTGCCAATCACATAAGCAGCGGCTGCTTATAGCTGCTGGCAAGATAGATTATGAGCATAATAAAATATTTCCACTTGCAGCATAACGGTGTTTAATAGTTTGTGCACGGATACATTTCTGTGAGTTCATACTTGCTGAGAGAAAGAGGAATAGAGAGAAATAAGCAGCGCCGCACGTGTGCGTTTGCTTACTGTCCGAGATGTATTTTGAGGTGTAAAAGACAAAACTGACTAGCCCGACTCTGAACTAAGCCTATATAGTGCTAAAAACCATGGTCCTTCACCTTCTCTCTGGTCCGGTGGGGTCAAGTTTTGAGGCAAGCTTTAAAGCTGAGCTTCTTACTGAGATCAAGTACATGACTATATTCATGACCACTTTACAAGCTACCGCTATGGCTTCAAATTACCGTAAGCAAGGCTGATGAGGTTTATGAGAGACTTAAGCGGAAACAATTTTCGGTGTTTCAGTACGGAAAAACTTGAACATCAAAAACGATTCGTAACACTCATCGGCTCTCAACAGCTTCGACAGAACAGCGGTAATGACGTATCTTTTTCGAAGAAAATCACTTTCCAGAGGAAGAAAATGGTTTGACTGGTCTTTAAAAAGTTTGCTCGTTCCCATTCGTAACTGCATCAACAAGTCATAGTAGAAGAAAAGCATGAACAAGTGGTGTAATAACGTAGGGCTCCTGTTCAGTGCTTGCCTCCTCTGCAATACAACAGCACAAGACGCGAAAGCGTCGCATAGGCGACCCGCTCCACAAAGAGCCTACAAGAAAAATCATTACAGCGGGGACGTTGGCAAAATTTTACTATGCTGTAGCATTGCCTCGTAACACCGTCATTCTCCCGTAAGAACATAGTTGAGTGATTACTGTTGTGACGAGAAACTTTGCCTTTCTTGTTAGTTTCCCCATCGTACAGCTAAGAGTGACTACTGCCGAAAATATGAGGGGGGAGGGGGCTCAGCCCCTAACTTTCCTCAGCAGAGCGCCCACGCCCCCTTGCCCCCCCCCCCCCTCAGGCTGATACGCCTATGTATAAAAGGCTCTGAACGGCCGCTCTTCTAGCTCTCGCTGTGACTGTGCTGCGCCTTCCACGCAGGCCTGGCGTTTTTCTTCCTGCTACGCCTGTTTTGCCCCTATCAGTTTTCATTTTTTTTATCTTTATTCACAACGCTGCATAGCAAGCTGGTACGTATACACTTGCCAATATACCTGCATTTCCCTCTCTTTCCCTTCCCCCTTCTTCAAGAAGACTCAAACAAGGCGCGATAGGAAGTGACCTATCCACTAAAAAGTGTCTGACGTGATCTTTGCATTAGGCGTGCTTCAAACTAAAACGCTTTCCTTAACTTTTGATTGATTTGTGGGGTTTAACTCCCAAAACCACCATATGAATATGAGAGACACCACAGTGGAGGGCTCCGGAAATTTCGACCACCTGGGGTTCTTTAACGTGCACCCTTCCTTGACTTTTTCCGCATTGCTTTGATCCTGAGCACTGAGTGCTGGAAAGTTTGGCCGAATTTTGAACAGCTTCGCAAGCGTAGAGCCAGTAAAACGGAAATTATAACGCATTGAGCATAACCTCACACATCTTTTCCTCTCTGCCGACGACATCAAGGTCGAGCTATATAACACCAGAGCGTTGATACGGATGCGTTGGCAAGCTCAGGCACACTAAATAAGCATACACGCACGCTCAAGTGCTGAGGCGTAGGGCAATGTTCGATGCACCAAAAGCAAGCTGCGTGCGTCGCACAGACGCGGAAAGTAAAAGCGGATGCGAGTGCTTCGCACGGCTGTTTAATAATCCTATCGTACGTCTTAACTGCAGCTCCTATTGGTAGGCCTGGTAATAGGCGTGGGACCTGCTGCAGAACCGCTTCCTGCTGGCGCAACACGAGTGGATGGCAAGGACGGCGCAAGACGCGCTCCTGGTCATTTGAGAAGCATCTCATGGGTATGAAGTGTTAAACCTGCCGGTGTCATGTATCATTCCACATTGATAGAAAGAAAATCCCTGACCCGCTATGGAAATTCGCCATTATTACAGAGTATCCCGAATAATTCGGCAAAGAAAAGCGCCTGACCTTTAGAATGTACTGTTTGTTTGTTCCATACACCCAGGTTTCTATATGCTAAGTACTGACACATAAATAACCATTGATTATAGTGCATTAGATGAGGCAGACTTTTTAAGAGTACGAAGAGAAAAAATATACTTGTTTTTCTGCAAATAGGCAGGTTATCTATCAATGCATGAGTATAGCTATCCTAACTGGATTTTAATGCACTTCTACACTTTTCTCTTGCTGCTTTTATTTTCCTAAAGTTTAAAGACACAAAGTGTAACGCATCGTATGGTATATGTTGTTGAATTAGTATTGAATAATGAAATCATTTTTAAACTATAAAGAGATGAGCGTTTTGTGATGAAATAAAAATCACAGTTTCGACTATCTTAGAGAATTCTTGTTTAACTTGACCCACCGTTTCCAATGCTTTCCCACATGTGTATTTTCTTATTAATTGCGCTTGAAAGAAGCATTACTATAAGGATGTTGTTTAACGATTGAAACCGAGAAGAGCCTCTGCGTGGCCTGTTTAAAAAGTAACGAACGCTTCAATATATGACAAGAGTAATATGCACTTTGGTGACGGTAGCAGAAGTAGTTGCAGCATGGAAGTAAATACGGAGGGAGGGGGGGGGGGTTGCTCTGTAACTAAATGCCAGTGTCCCCCGGTTTCTCAAGTACGCAACATACAATCCAATATTTAACAGAGCTACTTTGGCTTTGTTCAGTACCGTTAACAAGGTACACTGTTTGTTTTCCCTTACCACTCTTCTGTGGTACGTTTTATTGCGTTCTACCTGTTTATTACATTTTCTTCATTTCGTGGTTCTAGGCGAACACAAGACATGTCAGCGTCGATATAACAGCCGCGCCACCGAAGCTCCTGATCCCGAGCTCTGCCGTGGTACAAGCATCAGGGAGCACGCCTCTCGATACAGGGCCTAATTACCACCCTGTAGATTTTCTGCCTTTTTCAACTGGAACACCAACGCACGAATCACTCGTGCTCATACCGAGCCCCGTATACGGACCTTTCGCCACACCTTTCCACGTGCCATTATCTTACCACCCTATGCCACCATTTTCTCTGTCTGTGCCATATGTGATACAAAGGCACCCGGTCCTTGGCTTTGACAACGCCAGATACCAGTTTGAGATATACCACAGTCCAACATCCTTCGTACCATTGCTATATCTCCCTCCACTTCCGCCACCTCCTCCCGGTTACCCGCCTCTGCCTCCCCTACCTGGTCGCCCCGGGACGCTTCCGTCGCCCTCTCCGTCTCCGAAGCCGCCAAGACTTCCGAAGCCTGAGCTGCCACCAACTCGGAAACCTCAGTTTCCTCCTAAGGTGCCTTCACCTCCCCAGCAGCCACCAAAGTCGCCGTTACCGACGCCGTCTCCTCCCATCACACCAGCGCCCCCAAAGCGACCCGTGCCGCCCCCAAGAAAGCAGCCGCGACCACCGACAGTCAGACCACCGCCGCAACCATTGCCGGTTCCCAAACCACTCCCAGTGCCGAAGCCAGCGCCTAGGCCTCCTTCCTTACCGAAACCTCAAACTCTGCCGAAGCCAGTGCCTAGGCCTCCTTCCGTGCCGAAACCGCCAACCCCGCCCAAGCCTGAGAGAAAGCCGGAGCCCCCCGAAAGAGTGCCTGGTCCTCCTTCCGTGCCAAAACCTCCAACTCTACCCAAGCCTGAAAGAAAGCCGGAACCCCCCGAAACAGTGCCTAGGCCTCCTTCCGTGCCGAAACCTCCTACTTTGCCCAAGCCTGAGAGAAAGCCAGAGCCCCCCGAAAAAGTGCCTAGGCCGCCTTCCGTACCCAAACCTCCAACTCTGCCCAAGCCTGAGAGAAAGCCGGAGCCCCCCGAAACAGTGCCTAGGCCTCCTTCCGCGCCGAAACGTCCAACTCTGCCCAAGCCTGAGAGAAAGCCGGAGCCCCCCGAAACGGGACCAGTTCCCTTGCCAGAGGACGAGGACGAAACTGAGATAGCCGACCCACAATCGGATCCACCTGTGCTCTACGGAGATAATACTCCTGGACGGGAAGAATTTACGAGTTACTACGAACCCGATGTACTTTCAGCCCATGTTGCTGCGGAAAAAGTCGCCGATGCCGTCAGTACTACAGCAAGTGATTTTATCGGTCTTAGTGGTACACTTCATTCGAAGACGCAACCGGAGTCTTCTGCTTACAATAGCCACGTCGTGGAAGTATGAAGTCTGGCAATCTCATGCTGAACGTTTATTCGTGCAGTGAATCGATTCCTTAACTTCCCCCATGAGTCGCGTTATTTAACAATACATTCATTTGACGCCCATGCTAACAAAAATGATCTCGCTTCCTAATAACGATGTTCCACGCACCTCTATTACTTATTATAAACACATATTTATTTGTATTGTTGCGTTCGGCGAGCCACCCTTTGCCGCGGCCGCCGGGCCGGAAGAAAGGCGGCCGCCGCAATTTGTGGAGATCAGGAGCAGCGCGAAAGCGCTCGCTGTTTTTCATCTACTGAGCGGTGCATGGTTGCAATTACTCGACGGAGCATGGCTGTCGTTGGGGCCAGCGCGGAAATGCGACACGTGGCGTTGCCTGCAAAGGCCAGTCGCAACAGCATTTACATGGTACCCTCACTTTGTCTTTAACCGTGAGCGCCAGTATCGCTCGTTTGTACCACGCCTTTAGTACATTTTGCAATAACGAATGAGCTAGAGTATGTATAATGAAAAGCAGTTATGATATTGCATTCTCATACTAGATATTTTTGCTGTTCCTTTCACCAAGCACATGTTCAAATTTAACTGAGTGAAGAATATACATATTATATATCACTAGCATACTCTGCGCGCACACCAAGATACATACGTGGATTACTCAACGCAATTATTTACCTGAAGAATTATGTTTTGTGGGCTTCTGTACGTAAACTTGCGTAACCTAGTGTAAGGATAATGCGACACCTTGCAAGAACTACGTAGGCTTCTCGTATTCACCGGTTCATGCAGGAACGTGTTTCGCAATGACCCACATCAGTTTCCACTTTTCTCTTATCGATCGAATGAAGCTGCCTATTCCTGCGATGACGATGGCAAAAAAAACATCCGAAGAAGTGACGAAAAGAAACGCTAATGAGAAATGGTAGAAATGACGGCCAAGTACGGCCCTTTTGTGAATTCCATATCAACCGAGAGTTCCCGTTGTCCGAGCATCTTTAATCAATGGCATCGAAACAGAAGAGTGACGCTGTATGCCTGTTGATAAGGTGGAATATATCGCCATTGTAAATAAATCGCAGTACGATGTTACCGAGAAACTGATACGAGTCCTTTCGTATGGATGTGGGCGCGTGCTGTTACAGTAAACAAAGAAAATGTGAATAAAGGTTACTATAAAAGGCTGAATTCCATAAAATTTTACTTCACTTTATACTTAAGCTCATTAACCCGCCGTGGCGGTCTTGTGGTTGTGGTAACCGACTGCCGACCCGCAGGTCGCGAGATGCAGTTGCAGCCGCGGCGGTCGCATTATGTTCTGAGGATCAATGAAATTGGCAACCTGATGTTTGTGTCGTTGTTAAATGTGCTGTGGGCAACCGATGACACACGCTATGCATATATATATTCAAAATGAATGAATCAGTAAAAGCCAGGACAGCACTGTGTTGCGTTCAGCGACGCAGTGTGGGAGTTGCGAGCTGCATCCCAGCCACCATAACAGGAACAGAATATACGTGTATGTACTTCTATTTCATGTCGAGTGCAACCCCACCGCAGCACACGACGACGTTATGTAGTTGAGAGGATTCCTACTCCGTCGTGACGGCCGAGGAATGCAAAAAAAAAAAGATTGTGTTTTACGTGTTCGTACACGTTATGGAATAGAAATTAACAGGAAGGCGCCCTCGGTATCAGATAAAACAGGTCTCTTAGATACACAAAAAATATTATCAGTTCGTTTTGACATTGTGCAGGAATTCACGTATTCGTAGGTGGATACGTCGGGTGATGTTTGAATCTGACTCGTTTTTCCTTCATGCAGGTGTGGTGTATACCTGAACCGCAATCACCCAGTGAATAACAAAACTGCACCTTCTTGTTTGGAGACGTTTGTGAGGTGGTGAGGCGAACAAGGTCCTGGAACTCGGCGAAAAAGCAAAAGAAATAATGTCCCGCACGATACGATACCAGGAAAGTACGGTTGTCCCTGAGGAGACATGTCAAGTGTTTTCTACCGCGACCTTCACACATTTCGCTACGTATTCGCGGACACTTGGCTCGCAGACGGGCACAAACGAAGGCACGCGGGCCATAGGCGGCGACACGTTCCAAGGTGTCGTTCTGAGTGCGACGCGCGTAAACGATGCCGGTCCCTATCTCTCGCTATCACCCAGCGCGGAACCGCAGTCGTCATTGTCGATCCGATTACGGCGTCTGGATAGCGTTTATTGAGGACAGGACCACTGGGGACGGGAGTACTGGCACCGATAAGCGGCGACCGCATTATCAGCACAGCTGAGCATCGTACCACATCTACTTATCAAAGGCTCAAGTTCCTGCAGGGGTGTGTGCTCATGTCTGGCTCCTGACGCGTCAGCGGAGACCCTTTTCGCTTGGAAAAGGGCGGGGCTAAGTCAGCTCGAGAGGGCAACTTGATAAAGCTGCGTCAGAGATCTCAACTGCCTCGATTCGCTTCTCGTGGTTATTGTGTCCTTGCCAGAAAATACACTTGATAGGTTCTCAGCGCTATCGATGTGATGCTCGCAGAGAAACAGACCATGTTGATTTCTCACACAGCTTCGCCAGTTCACAACTGAATTAATGACATTCAATTCATATTTTTAGTCACGGTGGGACAATATAATCCATCAATAAATGAAAGAAGAAAACAAGACGAACCTCATCTTTTACAACTGCTGCAAATTATATGCTCAGAGCATGCTTACTGGCTGAATCATCACTTTTACAAACAAAAGGGCCTTGTCCTAAATATTGCCATTAGGGAACTGTATTCGTTAGTTTTGTCGAAACGTGCAGATTCGCGCACAACTCGACATCTTTGCGCACACATTTATTTATTAATTTTTGTCCTTGTGAGTGCCTGCCAAATATATCATATGTTTTATGTAATACTATAGCCATTACTAAACGCAGTTTTCTGAATAAAAAAAAAAGAAAACTCTTTCTAAGTGAACTGGCGGGTGTGGTCGAGGTCCATAAACTTTGATATCACAACATCTGGTACTTATTGACTGCAAGATCCACCTATGCACATTCTAATTATTCACTGCATGGTACTAAATCAATTTACTTATTGCAGTAAACGAGTTTGCCAGGCGTATATCACTCTGTTCAAATTTTCAAGCTGACACCAGCTTCGAAGTCATCATTCGCAAAGTGCGACAAAATGGATGGGTGTTCTGGTTAGTTTACTGCTTCAGCGTGTAAAACAGCGTTATGGTGCAAAAGTAACTGGGATTCCTGCGTGATTTTCTAAACGAACGACTGGAACAAAACGTTGTTTTTTCGCAACTTTAATGGCGCGTATGACGCGAAGCGCACCGCCCTTAAATTTTATTGCGAGTCGAACAGCTTCACTGCAATGCATTCTTTTTAGCTTATTCTTGACTCAACGCTTTACTTCTCCCTTTTTTTATTTTTCTCGTTCTTTGGACACACAGAAAAACATCGAAAGAACCTAAGGAAAAAAAAAGTTACTCCTTGATGCTGGGGCACGCATAGTGAATATTAGACACATGCGGCATCATTACAATCTTATCATACAGGTCACAACGGCCAAATAATAATAATAATAATAATAATATAGCGTTTAATATATTGAAAATTTGCCACTACACATTCGTAATGAAAAATACAGTGATGTCACGGTGCTTAAAACTTCTGATACAGGACCCATTTCGCGATTACCATTTACGTTTATTAATCTGATAGCCACGCAAACAATGCAGCGACACATCGTAACGACGTCGTTTCGCAGAAATCGGCCTTTGAACAGGAGCATTTCTTGACCCGCGGAAACTATATTTTGGGGGTCGGGCATGCTTGACATCGAGTGAAAGAATTATTGGGCGCGATAGCGGAAGATGCTTTGATCAAGCGTAAAATTTTATTTTTTATTGTGAGATGGAACAGCGCACATTGTCACTTTTACCAATACATTGTCATGATAAGAATCAACTCCGGTCACATGCGTCTGTCTGTCAAAGCATTCGTGGTGACACGCTTGAAGAGCAAGCGAGGATGTTATGTGGTACGGCCTATAGTCGTGCGCCCGTGGTCTAATGGGCGGAGCGTTGGAGAACTGCGTGAGTAATCGTGTTTAAACCCAACCATTGAAAAACGTAATCTTGTTTCTTATTTCGGAACTATGAGAGACGTTCGTTTCAACGGCTACGAATCAGCAACTTGCTTCTAAACGCACACATGCGTGCGCGCGCGCATTTCACTTTACAATAAAACTTGCTCCAGGGGTGGTTTCTATGACGTTAACTTGTCCGCTTTAAACACTCGTCTCTTATAAGGCGCCAGCAGCCGGATTCGTGAGTAATGTGGAAGTTACGAATGGCACTGTACTCGGATCTAAATTAAGGGCCGCCTTGATTCCGCCTGTTCTATGAGTGGTGATGTTTCCTGATCATTCGTCCGGTCGTTGATAGGTGTTCTCATCTCGATAGGAGAGGTAAACCACCAGGTGCCTTTTGTCACACCACAAAAGTGGTTAAACAGTAGGACACTTGAGAGAGCTGGGGAGACAGACCAGTGCTGCACCGACTATACCAGGTGGTGAAATAGGCATGAGCTCCTCATAGGCATATAGGCTTCTGATCAAATGCATGGCCGATACGGAACCCCAACTTCTGGAAATGATAACTATCTGGCGACAACTTGTTGTCGCAATACACATGAGAACCACTTACCTGTTTAAAAATAATATCTCTGTGACGGCATTTTATGATAGCAGCCTGTATAAAACAGGAAATTAGGCCAAGGTACAATTTTTTTTTTCGATACACAGAAAAGTGGGTTCTCGGTGGTACCTGGTCAAGTTACAGCGCTTGTCCTGTGTCCTTCTCTTGTTTTGCTTGTACGGTAATTTCAATATTGTACATTGCAAATAGATATGCGCGTTGTAGTAATAGTGAGAAAGGGCTTGCCGCATTCTAGTTTTTACCATTTTTGGCATTTGTTATTGCAACACGTCAAATACGACAATGAAGAAGAAGTGGTGGTGACAAGCTTCACTTAAGTGAAGCGTCGTATTCGATAGATTCGAAGCACACGTTGCTTTGAGTGACACGGAAATTATGAAGACTTAAAGCAAAAGAAAATTGTCAAAATTAAGATTGATTAAGATAGGCTTGCCCCATTATGATCGCAG